CCCAGTTAATTTTTTGTATTTTTAGTAGAGATGGGGTCTCAAACTTCTGAACTCATGATCCGCCCACGTCAGCTTCCCAAAGTGCTGGGATTACAGTTGTGAGCCACCACGCCTGGCCTTTCAACAGCTTATTTTAAGGCGATTTTATCTGTTTAATCCTCAGCTTTGTTCCAAAGAGGGGAAGGTGGTGATAGTTTCTTGCCCACTGATGTGTGCCAGACAGAGTGCCAGGCACAAGTGCAGAGGTAAATCAGATGACAGCTACCTCTCACCACGAGGGGTGGCTGAAAGTGTGACTGGACTATAGGCAATCCTGGGATTGGCAGGTGAGACCAGGTGTTGTATTGAGGGAGGGCTTCCCCAGCTCATCTTCTGGTCACCTCCACAGGTGAGCTCTACTGCGGCCTGGAGGAAACTGTGATCCATAGAGGGCATGTGGCGCCTGGTCCCCTCATTTTAGCTCAGCTTCCAGGACAGAGAGGCCCACTTCCTGGAGCTTCACAGCTATTCTGAAGGGTTGGGATAAAAAGAGGAGATGGAGGCCAGGTGTGGTGGCTTACGCCTGTAATCCCAGCACTTTGGGAGGCTGAGGTGGGTTGATCACCTGAGGTCAGGAGTTCGAGACCAGCCTGGCCAACATGGTGAAACCTCATTTCTACTAAAAATACAAAAAATTAGCCTCATGTGGTGGCAGGCATCTGTAATCCCAGCTGCTCAGGAGGCTGAGGCAGGATAATTGCTTGAACCCGGGAAGTGGAGGTTGCAGTGAGCTGAGACCACACCATTGCATTCCAGCCTGGGCAACAAGAGTGAAACTCCATCCCCCCCCCCAAAAAAAAAAAAAAAAAAAAGAGGCGATGAGAGAAAGAATCAGCGGGAAAGACCAGAATGTGGAGAATGTTGCCAAATGCCAATTTACTACCTTAATTTCCTGACTAGATTTGACTGTTTGGTGTCTGTGGCTCTCCTCCCACTCACACACGTGCTGGTGGCCTTCCTAGAAGGGAAATAGGAGGGTCCTGAGGTCCCTGGTCCTGAGGGATGTCATTCTAAGCATGTTTTAGACTGGATGCTTAAGCTTTTTCCTTCTTGTGCCCTCCACACCCCTTCAGAAAAGTTTGCGCTCTCTCTGAACCCTGCAGCATGTTTTCAGAGGCGGTTAGTAGTCAGATTCTGTGGTGAGCTGTGGATGGGAGGGAATTCAATAGTGGGTGGGTGTGGAGATAGAAAGGGAGCAGGAGTGTGACTGTCTTCCCTGTTGTACAATCATATGGTGATGTGAATAAAACCAAGGGAGAAACAGTTTCCTCTCACCCATGCTCTCCTTGAGGTTCTCTCTCTGATGTAAGCTCTAAGTACTGCTCCTTTTACTGGAGTTCAATTCCTGACTAAAGACAGAGTACTAATGGGCTGGGCGCGGTGGCTTATGCCTGTAAGCCTAGAACTTTGGGAGGCCGAGGCAGGCCGATTACCTGAGGTTGGAAGTTCAACACCAGCTTGGTCAACATGGTGAAACCCCATCTCTACTAAAAATACAAAAAATTAGCCAGGCACGATGGTTCCTGCCTGTAATCCCAGCACTTTGGGAGGCTGAGACAGGTGGATCACCTGAGATCAGGAGTTTGAGACCAGCCTGGCCAACATAGTGAAACCCCTTCTCTACAAAAAATACAAAAAATTAGCTGGCTATGGTGGTAGGCGCCTGTAATCCCAGCTACTAGGGAGGCTGAGGCAGGAGAATCACTTGAACCCGGGAGGCAAAGGTTGCAGTGAGCTGAGATTGCGCCATTGCACTCCAGCCTGGGCAACAAGAGCAAAACTCCATCTTAAAAATTATATATACAAAAAATTAGCTGGGTGCCTAGATCTTGATTTCTAAATAGTATTCTCCAATAAAAGAAACCAAAAACCCTTATAGCTACTCTGGAAACTGAGACAGGAGGCAAAGGTTGTGGCGAGTCGCGATCTCACCACTACCCTCCGGCCTAGGCTATAGAGTGAGACTTCCTCTCAAAAAAAAAAAAAAAGAAAAAAGAAAAACAGAAAAAAGAAAAGAAAGAGTACAAATGGCCAACAAATGCATGGGAACATGGTCTACCTCATTCGCAATGAGAGAAGCCAATTAAGATGGCAATAATACAATAATGAGCAGTTTTAGACAATTTTAAATGTGCATAATCAGCAATTCTGATTCTAGAAATGTATAAAAAATCATTGAATCAATGTGTCAAGATAAATGTGTTAGGGTATTTTTGAATCACTGATTCGAACAGACGTTTCTTAGTATCGAGTTGCTTAATAAGTTATAAAGCATATATAGGCTGAAATGTCACACAGATTAAGGATTTGGTCGCCTATTTGTTTCCTCCCTGTTTCACCAAAACCCATGTGGTCCTGGCCGCATCACAGCCTCTGGCACTCCTGGCTATCATGGCCAAAAGCTGGACATCCCTGCTGTGGGGAGTGCAAACAACCCAGGAATGGGTACCAAGAATGTAGGGGAGGGTGGGGAGGCACTGAACCAGCAGCTTCCCAAAAGGAGTGATGTGCTTCCTGAGGTCTATTCATAGAAGGCTACTCCAGAACAGTCTTCTGTGGATCCTGGCTGTTCTGGTGTCTGAAGAGGGTATGGTACACCTCACCGGATCTGGCTGAATTCCTGAATTCCAGGCAATGAGGTTAAAAAAAGAAAAAAGGAAAAAAATATTCTCCCCAGCATCTGAGATGGATGCTGCTGTTTGGGGAAGCCAGCACCCATTCTCCCTTTCCCTGGCAACAATGTCAGTGTTCCCTTGGGCAACCACTGTTTCACGCTTCCAGCCCCTGAAGTTCAGGTGAGGCTGGCGCTACTCCTTGGTTCTAGACCTCACTACTTCCAAGTCAATCCCCGGGACTTCTGCTAGCATTACCATGACTTCCTCCACTGAAGCCCTCCAAGGAGATGTGGGCAGGGTGGTGGAGCCACAAGCGAAAGTGCAGGAATCCTGTGTTAGCAGTGGCCGAGCTTAGGCCAGGCGAGACGAGGAGAGGGAGGGGATTCTGGACCCTGGAAGGAGAGTCATATAGAGGAGCCTACCCTGTTGAATGGATGGAGATGACAATTCCCGAGGTTTCTTGAGGCAGAAAGACCAAGATAAGGCTGGGACTGAGGGGAGATTCATGCAGCAGGAGCCAGGTGGTAAAGACAGAGGGGAAGAAAAGACTAGTACGGATTTTATTCTAAATGGCCTTTGCATAAAAGCCACCACAAAATAGTTTTATTTATTTATTTTATTTTTATTAATCTTCCTCTGAACACAGAACACATAATTTTATTGTTTTTTGTTGTTAGTGGTGGTTTTGTTTTTTTTTTTTTTTTCTCTTTAGAGACAGGGTCTTATTCTGTCCCTCAGGCTTCAGTGCAGTGGCAGGATTGTAGCTCACTGCTGCCTCTAACTCCTGGACTCAGGCAATCCTCTAGGCATGGGCCAGCACACCCAGCCTAGAGTTTTGTTTGTTTCTTTGTTTTCTAAGTTATTTATTTAAGCCATCTCCTGCCACAAGCAAAGGGATGGAAGATCAGCATGCCAGTCATCATTTGACACAGGTAAAGAAGGTGAGCCTAAGGTCCCATGTACTTTTTCTGGTTCGTGTGCAGAGTAATGGTCCAAACCAGTGCTGTGCTCCCCGGTGCCCGGGTAGTGGTCCAGATTCTCTTTATTCATCTTCGTAGCCGGTTGGAAGTGGATTCACACGAGGGCTATGGAACAGAGTATGGTTACTATCGCCCCAGGGAGACGGCTTGGTCCTGATGTGGAGATGGGGGTAGGGGATGAACTTGGGTCTCTTGTGCTCTCCATGGTGTGACTTCAGGAACACATTCGACATGCTGACTGCCACCCCGGGGAGCATGACGAAGAAGGTGAGGGCCTTCCACATGCTAGCCTTTCCCTATCCGCCATGGTGCCACTGGGCATAAACCACCCCAGCTGTGGGCAAGACTGACCCAGCAGCCAAGAAATCCCTGAAGCCACAGCTGCCACCATTTTCACCCTGGACCCCAGCCTAGAGTTTTAATTAGAAAAAGTCAGTAGTCTGATTCGTGTTTTTGGAGGATCACTTTGGATGGAGAAATGTATTGGATATGGGGACAAAGTCAGAAGTAGAAAAAGCCCTTAGGAAGAGGAGATAGTGTTCTTGAGGAAGGGGGCAGTGGAGAGGGACAAAGTTGGCAAGAGTTAGGTGCTAAGATACAAGGCAAAGGTCCAGGAGTGCGGTGAAAAGCTGGATAGCTTGGGCTACTCCACTTCACTGAGCCTCAGTTTCCTCTTCCATAAAAATAATATCCACTTCATGAGGGTAGGTTAGACAAGGGTAGTAGCTGAGAGTGTTGTTTTTAGTCAGATCTGGATTTGGATCTCGGGTCTGGGAGGTGACAGCTGTGTGACCTTATGAGAGACTGTTAATGATAGCCTTTGTTATGTTTCAACCAACAGAACTCTCCCCACACTAGGATACTTATTCTAGCTTCCATGGGGGTTGCGGGGGGGGAGGGGGGGAAGCACCATGGAGACAGCAAGGCTTTTGTCCAAAGTCCTACTAGCAAATGTGGAGCCAGGATTTCTCTGTCGCGTTCCCCTAACTTTTCTGCGTCTAAAACTGGGATAACAATAATACTGACACTTACCTGTGTGGTTGGGAGTACACAGAAACGGGTCTGGCACATAGCAGGTACTTATTAAATTATTAAAATTATTATTATAATATTCTTTGTGTTTTCCTGAGTTTTTACATGGAGTGAGCATCATTTGGACAAATCCTTTGGATTAAAAAAAATATCTACTAAGCGAGGGGGAAAAAACTGCGGCCGCCGCAGTCTCAGCAGGGGCTTGGGGCGTGACCAGGGGGCGTGGTCTACGAGGGCAGGGCCACGACTGGAGGGCTGGGCTGTGGGGGCGGGGCCAGGGCAAGACAACTGAGGATTGGGGCGGGGCCCGGGTTGGCGACGCATGCCCAGTGAGGCCCTCTTGGCCGCCGCCGCCGGGGCCACCGCCCACTCGGGGCTGGCCAGCGGCGGGCGGCCGGGGCACAGAGAAAGGCCGGGCCGGGCGAGTGCACGGCCATGGCCCCGTGGCTGCAGCTCTGCTCCGTCTTCTTCACAGTCAACGCCTGCCTCAACGGCTCGCAACTGGCTGTGGCCGCTGGCGGGTCGGGCCGCGCGCGGGGCGCCGACACCTGTGGCTGGAGGGTAAGGCGAGGGCGGCGGGTGTCTTGCTGTCGCCAGCTCGCGGGGGACGCGGCGCGCACAGGTGCTCGCGGGGAGGCGAGCCCGCGCCAGCCTGTCTGCTCTCCGCGGCTTTCGCGGCGGGCCGGGGTCCCACTCCTCCCGCGCATCTTCCTGCTTTGCTTTCCCTCCCGGGGCGCGCGTCCTCCGGCCCCCGCCGGGATGAAAGCGTCTGCCGGACCCCGGCTTTGTGTTGCTAATGAGGTGCGGCTGCCGGCCGGGGTCCCTTTCTGAGGGCAGGCGTGAGGGGCGGCGGGGACGGGGCAGGGCGCCCCACCCTTTGTTCTTCACCCGGGACCTCCTTAGCCCCAGGGCTGCGTGTCCCGGGCTGGCATCCCCCGAGCCAACCGGACGGGGGAGCGCGCTTTGGAGAGGGAAGGGGGTCTTCTCCCGGACTTCCAGTCCACAGCTCTGCCAAGGCCCGGGCGGCGGGAGCGGGGACCTGGAGCGCCGGGGAGGGATGCGCCGCGCTCTTCTGGTAGCTTTGTTCCTCCTCGCCTGGGGCCGTCACCCCACTCCTAGCCCTCCTCAGACTCCGGGACCTCCTGAGAAACTTTGCCTCCCGGTTCAGTCCTTCGTCTTGTGAAGGTCTCGCGGCAGTTGCCTTCCTTCCCCTCTTCGAGTTGCGGATATTTTTCCGCCAGGGGTCACCTGAGTGTCACCTGGATCAGGTGCCCAAGACGAGACTGGAGAGGCGCCCACACTTTGGCCATGTGCGTGGAGCCGTCCCTCTGGAACCAGGCGCTCCTTTGACACTGTCTCGGGCGTGTGCGCGGGTCATTGCCATCCCCTTCCCGGCTCCTTACCTGGGCTTCTGGAGATTCCATCCGTCTGCCCCGAGCTTCCCACAGAGGCCAGCATGGGCCCGGGGTTAGGGTACTCACGGCCTTAAGCCTTGTGAAGAAAACGCAGGCTTTGCACTCAGGCAGCGGTGACATGATCTTGGCTCTGCTCCTGGGGAGCCATGAGCCTCAATTTCTTCATGTGATAAACGGGATGAAATGAGAGTTTCCTTAGTATTGCTGGGCTGAAGGATAGGTATGGAGTGGTTTGCTTAGGCCAACGTTGACTCACCCCACTTCTGGGTGGCTCCAAACAGCCTCAGCACGGTCAAAACCTAGAACAACAACGCGCTTAGGGACCAGGTTGGTGCCTCCAAGCTCACTTGCCCCACAGTCCGAGAAATGTGGTGCAGAAAACCAGGTGTGAGCCAGGCAGCTGGGCTGTCTTCAGACTGAATAGCTAAGCTGTGGAGACAGCCCCTGTCCCCCCTGCCTCACACCCCACGCCCTTGGACTCTGTATTTCCTTCCCAGTTGAGTAAAGCATCACATTTTCTTACTCTTCCATTTTCGTAAAACATCACTGCTCTTGTTTTATTGTTTCTAAACAGTTTTAGTAGCTAGCAAGTTTCCTCAAGGCTGTCTTGTGTGGACTTACAGATCCTACCAGAATTTTGGATTTAGACTTCTGCTGGCTTTTGAGTGACTACAGTAGCATCATAGGCGTTTTATTCTGAGTGTTCGCGTGACGGCACAGGTAAAGCAGTCCAATTTGCTGTTTTGCTGCAGTTGCCAAGGTGGCTTCATAGCCAGTGTACAAAACTCGTGAAGTTTTAATGCTGTGGGGTATGATAGTGCCCCAACAGAGCCAGGCTGATGCTTTTATTCTACCTGTGGGAGTGTGTTCTCCTGCACCCTCACAGAATGATGGCTCTGTCCCAGTCATCTAACACTCATGCTGACCTTTTTCCCCACCACAACCTCTAGCTGGGGGTAACTCTCTCAACTGCTCCTGCCTTGGCCCCACCAATGCTTTCCTTGGGTCATCTTTATTCCCTTCCTGTATGATCGTAGAGGCCCCTGGGCCATGTTCCAGATTCCAGGCTCATTCAGGCTGATACATGGTTCCTTCTCCTGGATTTGTTGCTTGGTGCATTTCATGGACCCAGTTTACTCACATGCTTTGCATTCCCATCCTTTTCAGCCTCACCCTCTGCCCCTTGAACCCTGCTCCTAACTCAGGATGGATGCCCTCTGTGCTTCGAAGGCATGCTTTTCCCACCTCCTAGGATGCCTTTTCATCCCTGAGAATTCCTTGCCTAGCTTAAGACTCAGTTCAGGTGGTGCCCCTCAGGGCACTACTGAATGCCATGCCCTTTGCTTTGCCTTCTCATGCAGGACCTTGCACTGTGGCCTCACCAGACCACATTTTCAGCATTTGTTCACTTTTGTGTCTTCAGACTAGTTTCTTTAGACAGGCACTGAACCTCATCTTGGTGGTCTCAGAGCCCTGTAAATCTTGGCTGAACCAAATTAGACCTTGCTGCCTTCCTGCTAAATGCTGTATTTCCTGATAGATTTTAAGAAGTAGAGGCAAAGATCAGAGCCTCAAGTTCCGTTGTCTTTGCAGCAGGCCTTTGCACATGCTGTTCCTGCCTATGTTCCTTCACTTTACACCTCCGCACCTTCCCTAGCATCACTTCTGCAGAAAACTCTCCTTGTTCACACCTCCCTGGGGCATGTCTTCCAGAAGCCGCTCTGTCAAGGAGTCAGCCAAAAAGTACTGGTACACAGTGACTAGAGTATTTGATTCATGTTTGGGTCGCCTACCAAATGATAGGTACTCAGTCCATAGAGGTTGGCTTCAGTTCTAAGGTTGCTTGCAGTTGGGCTATAGGAACATAGAAGAATAAGGGTCGACTATATGTGATGCAAATCAGAGGAGGCTTCCTGTGGATCTGGGTCATACTCAGAACCTGAGAGAGGCAGCAAGGTGCAGTACCAAGCCCTGAGAGACCAGATTTGGGTGCTGGAGCCGAGCTGAGCAAAAGATCCCCTTGATCTCCAGGGAACATTTGTTCCAGGAACCCTTGCCCCTGCAGGAATGTGTATTTTCACAGGACTTGCAAGGTGACTGCAGCCAGCCAACCCTCTGCAGCCCTGTTAACAGACCCTTCGGGGGCTGCTCCCAGAGGAGTCAGGAGCTGGTCTGGTTTAAGTGGTCAGGTTTCACAACCTCCCTATTATTAGTTGGACAATTAAAAGGCTGATACCATCTTGAACACAGGTCAGTGTTTTAGAAATGAGTCGTGGGCACACTTCCTCAACTACTTAAAAAAAATTCTTTTAGGGTCTTTGCCAGATAAGATTGCTCCTTGAGTAATAAATACTGTGTTCCCAAAGAAGCAATAACTTGTAAAACCTCCAGAGGGACCCGCATCTTCATTTACACTGGCTCTTGTCTTGCTTTTAGAGAGTGGAATGGTTTTGTTACTGGAAGCAAGTTTTGTTCATAACTTTGTGTCAGTCACTTGTATTGAAGTTCTGCTGCCCCTGGTCTTGCTGGTCTAGAAGCTTATTTATGGAACAAGAAGTTAGGAATCTACTCCCACAGGGTTTTTCTTTAGTGTCTTTTCCTGCAGTAGGGGAGGAGGGGACATTTCTTGCCTTCTTACAAATGGGGTACACCTTCTATGGTCTGTTATCCCTGAAACACAATTCCTACTGCCGCTGCAAAAAAAAAAAAAAAAAAAAACAACACCACTCCTTCAGGAATTTGGGAAGCCAGGATGCTGGCATCCTGGCTTCTTTACAGTGAAGCGCAAGTTTCCCATTTAAGGCAAACACTTCATCTCAAAAGGTAGGAAGGAATAGGGTGGTACTTGGAAAAGAGAAGTTCCAGCTGGTTAAAATTTAGGTTCCTGATAAAAGTCCAATCCAAGAATTATCCTTGGCTGTGGGCCCAGGCATGTTTATTTGATTCCGAATTGGATGCATTTTCATTCACTTGCAGCTCATGGCTCCCAAGCCCACATCTGGTCTGCCTATCCTATGGCCATGTCATCCATGTTACAGATGCTCTTGTGCCTGTTACAGAATTCTTGGTTAAAAAATTACTCAGTCCTGGTTGATACATTTTTTAGAGAGACGTTTTTATAAGCAGTGCAAAGCTTTCTTCCAGCCTCTTTTGCCTAGTTATTGGGAACTCTCCTGGCCCATGTCCATCTTTCTTGAGCAGCCCTCTCTTCTCTCCCCACCCCGACCCATCCATCCAACCCCAAGCCCCTGCAGTGCCTGGGGCATTCTGCTGGTTATTAACTTGGACATACAGCTTGGTGACCAGGAGACCAGCAGCTACTTTCTCTCCAAGACACCCAGGGCTTTCCAGTATCAGAATTGCCTTAAGACCTTGTTAAAATGCAGATTGAAAGCTAATGGGATCAGAGTGGGAATGTGGAGCCCAGGAATTGGCATTTTAACAAGTTCCTCTGAAGAAACTTAGGCTATATACAAGGATGAGAGACCTATTGTTTTAGGGGACAGGGCTTCCACAGTCTGGAGAAGGGGAGAAGACACATTCTAAACATTTAAAATCAGAGTTTGGCTTTAAATTATGTCCCTGGACTTAGAGAGGAATGTAGAGACTTTCTCAGAGCCCTGACCAATGAAAGGGGTCAGGCTTGCTGGGGAGTGTGAGGACAGTGGGGTGAGGAGGAGCTGGTTTGGGTGGGTGCCTCTGGCCTGGGGCGGATGAGGAGGCCTGGAGTCGACTTGACACTTCCCCTGGGTTCCTCCCTAGAACTGCTGGGTTTGTCTGAAAACAGTCTGAGGAAGGAGTAGCATAGGATCCAAATCAGATTCTCGAAGTTCAAATCTTACAACTTCCCGACAAAGGAAAGAACTGCTAATGCTTTTTAAGTATTTTTCATGCTTCATTTGGCCTAAAACATGTTTTTTTCTTTTTTCCTTTTTTCTTCTTTAAAGCTTTCAAGGCTTTTTCCTCCTCTGTCCCTGATCTTTTTATATACTATGCCCCAGCAGATGTCTGCTCCTGCTGGGTCTATCCCATCAACAATTTTATTGTCCTTCTTCATTCCCCACTGCCTCTTTTTTTTTTTTTTTCTTTCTTTTTTTGAGACGGAGTTTCGCTCTGCACCCAGGCTAGAGTGTATTGGCGCAGTCT